GATCAATGTGGATACTGACGTCGACCGGATGTTTCTTCAGGAACTGAAAGATGTCCGTGGCATTGTGGAAGCCGACAGCGACACACATAGAGCGTGAGTGGGACTCTGAAACATTTGTTTCACTTATGATTTCAGCACAGAAGCCATTATAGTTTCGACTAGGCCTTTCGTACCATTACTCTTCAAGTCGAATACAATGGTGATCTGCCTTCCTCCGATCAAGAAATCTATTTATTATTTATTTCGACATCTCCTGGCATGTCAAAAGACGGCCAATTAATCAGTTGAGATGAAGGGTGAGAGCCAACCATGGAGCCAGTGCCATGTGTTCGATGTGCAGCTAGATTTGTCTTGGTTGGTTGCTATATCTGCTAAAACTCTGCCTGTGCTTGACTGTAACCTGTAACCTGTGCTGTGGACATTCATACTTTGTGTGTGCAGGCTGGCCTTGGCATATCTACATCCTCGGCTACCAGACCACCAGATTTCTGTATTGGAGACTCACTACAAGGTGAGATGCGGCATTTTGCAACCGGTCTGATACTGGGATGTGCAACTGTCAGATGCAACTACTGCTGTTGTTATGCAGTGAACCCATGGATTATGCTGTCGTTGTTTGTGTGCGTGCGTGTGTTTGTGTGTTTGGTGGTTTCTGCAGCAACTGAGCAAAAGTGTACTGAAGATTGCCGAAGGCCTCGTGCACAAAGCAGAGTTCAAGGACTTCTTTTCAGATCTGGAAGAAAAGGTGCGTTGTTGCCTGTTTGCATGTACCAGTTCTGTGTTCTTTTGTCGAGAGCTGCGCGCTCCGTAGTGGATACTGAAACCTGTGTAGGAACTTAGGAGCCAGCAGAACAAGAGACACTTTCTGAAAGAAAACTTCCTGTTCGTAAAGACCTTGTGCCTGTCCATGGTTGGAACCTGACTGAGTTAGTTTTCAGTAGAGGTGCGCGCTTATTTAGACGCGACGAGACCATCCAACGCTTGCCAATACCAGCACAGACAGTTTTAAGGTACTCTGTGATGGTAAAATACTCCTGGCAAGGCTTGCTTCATTCCTTTAGGCCCACTTCAGACCAGGTACAAAGCAGCCTATACATTTACACAGTTGTCTGAGGTCCTCAGGCTGTGTATAGTGCGATATGTCCAGTGGACAGAGCCAGTAATACAATTCACCAACAGCAACAGTGCAACCAGGTCATTCCTTGCCGTTACTCAGAGTTTCATGTCGGGGAAAAAAAGCACTGATCTGTCTGTAAGTCACATTCATGTAGACATTCCAAAACAGCAACAAGAATCTAGCGGGAAGCCTGAAAAGCTGCCCAATCCTTTCAGGTAGAGTGCGAACCCTTGTACAAGGCAACTTTCTTGCATGTGTCGTACTTTTACCAGGCACTCATACAAATGTACAAGCTTTGTACGACTCCCTGCTTTCACGCATCCTCTTGTGCAACTGCGCAAGGTCGAAGGTTGCCTGTACGTTCAGTTGCATTATGAGTTATTAGTTGTGGAAGGTTTTTTGGCCCGTCTTACATCAGATTCATTTCCTGGCTTTTTTTGTTTGCTGTTTCTTCTTTCTCGTTTCTCACTTTAGTTCATGGAACCTTGTCGCCAGTTGGAGTACAGCGTGGAAGAAATTGGACATTTCCTGAATGCCATGCTGGAGTCGAGTCGACAACTCGATGGCCTGATGAGGTTAGTGGTAGTACATCAGGCTGGGAGGAAGCATTCCTCGCTGCCAGGAATAGTGGGGTTCTATCTGTCAGGTAGTTCGTGATCCATGCAAGAGACGCTCCAGAAACCTTGTCCGTTGCAGACAGTTTAGCTAGGAGTCCGCGGAACTATACCGTGCCAAACGCCTTTGCAAGGTCGAAAAACACAATGATACCGTATTTTCCGGAGTGTAGTGCGCACTTTAGATGTGCTATTTTAGGCCCTAAATCGCAGGTGCGCACTAACTAAGTTATGCTCCGAATATGAAATGCATGTACTTCAATGAAGATTGAAGTGCGCACCCTCAATGAAGATTGAAGTGCGCACCCCCAATGAAGATTGAAGTGCGCACCCCCAATGAAGATTGGGGGTGCGCGTTATACAAAGGTGCGCACTATACTCCGGAAAATACGGTACCAGCATTCTGCTGGTCATGATGAAGGGCCACAATGCCCTGTACAAGGTGTGTCAGCTGCATGGAAGTTGAGTCTCCTTGTCGAAAGCCAGATTGAACTGGGGCAAGAGCCGGCTAGTACGATATTGTCGGGGCAAGTTCTTGGGGACTTCGTTCGTAATGGTGCCCAAGCCAGGACATCGACGAGTCTTCAATCGAGAGATAGCAATGCATGATGAAGGCATTGCACCGCTCACTGGGCCATAGTCGTAGCTGCATACTCTTGTTGATGGATTTATGCAGGCTACTTCGAAGTAGCTGTTAGGTGGAAGTACTAGTAACATACAGTGCATTTCAAAACTATAGACGCGTAGGGTTTTTGAAATATTTCAAATTTGGCTGGAACTTTTTGAGAATAGTTTTCGGAATATTGCTCAGGATCGCTCCACAATTACTCTCATATAGTTTCTAAACGATTGGATAACAGACGCCCAATTTGGAAAAATTTATGCACAAAGTGATCACAGATTTTATGTGGTATAGATGCTGGCATAACGGTTTTTGCCTAGGTACGCGTCTATAGTTTTGAAATGGACTGTAGCTGCCTCTCAAAGAGCTGACCTACATGCCTGGTCCACCAGCATTGTAACTAGTACTCTTGCGGTAACCTGCATCTACTTCCGATATGTTTGGGTAGGAATGATGATTATATGAGTACTGATGTAGACCCAGAAGTATTCTGAACACTTTTTCAGCTTCATGTCTAAAGCACATAGGGGTGGGCTCACGGCTACAGCTCAAATTGTCCTGCCATTCACGTGAAATTCTTTATTTGTGGAACATTTTGATCTTGGACCATCATCACGAACTTGTGAACCTTAGCCCAAACCCTATTTGCTTCTGGCATAGTAGCAAGAGTAAGTTCTGAACGGCACATCTTTGTTTTGGTTGAGCTGTGTGTTAAACGTTGCTCTCCGTTCTTCGCTGGTTGCTTGTTGCACAGGAGGAAGCACATGCAGCTCGCTTACCAGAAGTACCTGAAGATAGTACTAACGTGCGCGCAGCAGTTTGCAAAGGCAAGGCGACGCTAGCTCTCACCCGCCACCACCCACCCCACCACCACCACCACTGATCCTAGCTCTCGCCACCGGTATTCTGCTTGAACTGTCCCATTGGTATGTCTGGAAGGAAATGCTCCCACTAAGTACTGTGAACTGCTGATGAGAAGTTGCTCGACCTGTGCACTGTCCTGCTTTTGCAACTTCAACTTTCGCTTGATGAAAAAATTACACGCTGCTGTACGTCAACTCAAAGACACGCAATATTATAATGTCATGAAACACACCTTATTTACACAATACTGATTGCATAAAAGTAGGACTTGACTTGACCAAATATTTTTACTATCATCCACTAGACCTATTGTTTTCCACAACCACTGCTCTGCTTCTCAGACCGACTAAGTCAGCTGAATGTTCTGTTCGAATACTCCTCATCCTTACAACACAGTTGGTAGAAAGGACCCAACTATGATTTTGTCCGCCTTGTTTTTATTATTGTTAAAACTAGCTGTGCTTCAGTGGTATTATGCTGTGCTGTACGTTCGCTGTTGACAAATCTCTTTATAACGTAGTTGCTGTTGTCGTTTATCTAATCATGGGTGTGGATGGTTGATTCTTAGCCACCATTCACCTGTAACGACGGTCTTGTTACTTGTAGATCGGTTTGTGGTAGCAAGTAGGGAGATAGCACGAGATCATAGTGCCCGAAACGAAGTGCGTTTCGATCCCGTATTTGAAAGTTCTACGTGTACTGTTGTCTATGCAACTTGGGATTAGGATCACGCCCTTGTCCTATTGGCCCCAAATGCGACCCAGTTCCACGATGCCATATGCATTAGTCGGTCCTGCTCCAAGGGCGACTGGAAGGGGCAGTTCGGGGGCTAAACCCACGTTGTTTAGCTTACAACTGTTGCCCTGTCGTCTCCCTGTACCCTACCGAGTCCCTAATCTATCAAGTAAGTTGCACTGAGTGCAGTACGGTTATGAATACCGGTATGCAGGACCAAATTGAATATACCGCAGTTATTCCAGTACGAGACTCGTATCATCAAGAGTACATCGATCGTTACAAATAAGATGATAGATTAGCATCGCATGAGTACGATGTATACATGTATGTACGAGTCGTACATCAGAGTTCTTGACACACACGTATACATGTTTTTTTTTGTTTTTTTTTAGCATTGCAAATTGTTTTTTTAAAAATGTTTGGCACCTATGATCAGGGGGGATGGCCCACGCCTGGTAAAAAAAGTAAGTAATTAAAAAAAATTAAAAATAAGAGGTTCTGTGTTCCGGCTCTCCGCCTTCTCCGCGAACATAAGAGAACTAGAGGAGAACAAACAAACACAAGAAGCAAGAATAACACGAAAAGCAGAAATTATGAGAACATGGTATAAATGAGCACGGCCATCAACCTCGACAGGGGATAGCCGCCTCGGCAACAACAAGAGCAGCTGAGTCCGCGGCAAAGACCGGTGCATAGAGCCGCCTAGCACCCCTCAGGCACATCACACTGGATCGGACCAAGGCAAAGCTGATTTGACACCGGATCGAAGCCATCACGGCACTGTAGGCCTCTCCGGTCTTGTCGGCGATGAGGGACGCTATCCTCTTGTACAGAGAGGTGGCAGATTCCCCATGCCTCCCGTAGTGGAGAACACGGCGAGAACAAAGCTGGAGTGTTCCACTTCTCGGATTCTCTGCTCATAGGCACGGCGCTTGGCTTTTTCGTGACGGGTGTAGCTAGCACAAGTGAGTTGAGGCGATTCGAGGACGCAAAAGGGTTAAACACCCGGACATCAATGTAGGTGCGCTCGAACCGCCCTCCCCAAATACCACTAGCCACCACGTCAAGGCGGGCTTGGTCGTTGCCCACAGCAGTACAGTACCGGAGCTGCTCTCCAGTGAGTGGCTGCAAATGTGGCTCAATAGCCACCTGGTGGCCAACACGCTTCGCAAGGCGAGCTGTCACGTCGCGTACCTCGTTGTGGCGGAGGGTTGGGAAACCGCCTAACGGGCAGGAGAGGGCATGGCTGACGGTGAACTGCTGTCCACAGGAACATGATGTTGGCAGTCGTACTGGGTGCCAGCCATACCGGAGGTGCACAGCATCGCGGAACTCAGCCTTCGTGAGGGTGAAGCCGTGGGCCTTTAGGGGCCGGCAGGTACTAGGTGAGCCAGCTGGATGCCCCCCGCTCCGAAGCAAGGTCGATGGTACGTTGAACCTCTGGAGGTGCGGCAGAATGCAGAGCGACGGCCTCGGCTTGGAGTGATGTCTTTGCCTTCGCCCTCAACAGCTGCTTGTTCTTCCGCACTTCCTGCAGGGCATCGCCAAGCGTGGCAGTCTGCTGCTGAATGCGCCGCACCAGTATACATGTTTTGAATTTTATATTACCGGTATACATGTACTAGTAAACGTGTATAATGTGCCATGTACCAAGGAGTACTGTACATCACGTATAGAATCAAGCATAGAAGGAAGGGCTTGGTGGAAAATTCATGCCCGCGTGTGTACGCTCGAGGGCTTGCCCGAGAGCGTACACACAAGGGCATGGAGTGCCCGAGTGCGTATGCCCGAGGGCTTGCCCGAGGGCTACGCACGAGGGTACGCATTTTCCATCAAGACCTTCCTACCATGCTTGATTGTGTTTCAAACATACCGCATACATCAACAAGCAAACACCAATCACCGATCAGCACGTCCTGATAACGTCCGGAGCTGAAAATGAGCACCGGGGCATGAAGGTATAAAAGCGAGACTCCTCTAGGGGTGGTGGTCGGGGACGTGGAGGATTCAGCTTGTTAGTTTCACCTTGCTCGAGATGAAACTAACGGTTACTTCAGAACGAAACTTCACCTTGCTCGAGATGAAACGAACGGTTACTTCACGAAACTTCACCTTGCTCGAGATGAAACGAACGGTTACTTCAGAACGAAACTTCACCTTGTTCAGCTGAAACGGAGCTGGAACTTCAGCTTGTGAGTTGCAGCTCCCAAGCCCTTGAGCGTACGGAGCTCAGAACGAAACTTCAGCTTGTGACTGTGAGTTTGCCCGAGAGCATACGGAGCTGATACTTCGTGAGCTGAAACTTCAGAACGAAACTTCAGCCGTGCGCTCGACGGCTTGCCCGAGAGCGCACGGAGCTGGAACAGCTGGAATCCGAACATGGAAAACTGACCCCGGTGATTGCCACTTTACTTATTTTGGCTTGCTAAGTTCAGAGCAGATAGATAGGTGCATGCTCTTTTATTTCGCTTACCAGAGCAAGTAACGTCAGTTCACAGTCGAATGTACATGCGAACTGAGCTGACAACGAAAAACTGCCAGTGCCACAGACCCTTGCCGAGCTACGCTGATAGATGGCACCATAGCCTGGCATTTGCATAGCAATTAGCATGCATGCAGGGCATTGGATGTCACCGTACTCCGTAGCATGCTAGCAGGGCATTGCCATGCCGTAGTCCAGGCAATAGGGAGGTTTAGTTCCCACGTAACGGAAACGCGTACGTGGGTGATCCACGTAAAGTGGATGAAGGGCACCCACGTTGCAATGTTGTGTTTAGTCACACGGAACAAACAAAAGCATAAAGCGAAAGGCCCAAACCTGGTCAAAGACGAAGCTACCCGGGCCTAAGAAGCTCATCGAATATTTTGATTTCGTGCTTCGGAAACTTCTTCAGCTGAGCACCCTCACAGCTTGCACAATGCGCTCCATTCTGATTTTCACCCACGTTCTGGCGGAACGTGGGTGAGCCTCCATACACGGCATGTCGTGAATCAGAAAACGTCTGTACGTGGGTCACTGAGTATCACGTGGTACACCCACGTAAAGTACCCACGGATTACGTGGGACTAAACCTCCCTAATACACACAATTTCTGCCCTGGTACAAGTCGATGCTGATTGGCCGTCGGATGGCAACAAGCACGTGATATGTTTGAAACCATGGTACAAAGCGCTGCGTCTGCGTCTACGGTCGGTTGTCATGATGATCCGTATACGGGGTGAAAACGGGAGCAGAGGAAACGGGAGACGTAGACGTGGTATGGAGAGGGTGGGTATACGACTTTTTGTATGAACGTGCGTATCTACCCCAGCCTTTTTCCGAGCGACCCTGTACTTCGATGTACGTGGGTTCAAAAACCTGACTGCGTGTACGCGTCAAGAACTGTGCCTGTCTGATGACACGACCACCCGTGTTGGTTTTTTCACCATAGACGTAGACGTAAACGGGAGTCGGAGAACGTGGTGTGATGATAAACGTTTACGTCGTGGAAATACCGGTGGGGTCACTGCTTCGGCGTTTTTATTATTATAACCGTGCATACATGCCGGTACTACAATCAAACGCCGAAACGTGAAAATGCGTTTCACGTGGAGTTTACCTAGACTACGTCATCGCTGGTCATGCCTTTGTCAAAACTTCTTTGGAAGCAAGAGAATCTACAATGACTGAATACTGTTGTTGAGAATGAAGGGTCTGAGCATTATTTTGGAGCAGTAGACATGCTGTGTAGTGGATTGACTGCTCTTGCTCTGTGTTATAGTCATCCGATAGTCTGAGCAGACCCGTAGCTCTGCGTTCGCTATGGGGGATTGGTTCAGATCAGGCATAAATCTATCTCAGCTGACTGACCAAATTTCAACTGTTCTCAATGAATCAACTGCTGAAGTTCAAGGTAATTCTTGGAGAATTGCTTTAATACGTGTGCAAATCGAAGAGTATGCACAGATAATAGTGCTACTATCTCGTTGCAATTCGTTTCCCTTTCCGAACAATCCATCCATCTTGCATTCAGAAGGGCATTAGAATTATGCAAACCCTGAACGTTGATTTTCACTGTATTTCCAGACCACAATTTTAAGGGACAGGGAAAGGGATGCTAGTACAGTACTCGATTGTCAGGGTGGCCAGACTCATCACCTTCCTATTAAAAGTGGGGACACCAAATGTCACCCATACACAATGCATACAAAGACAATTGTCTCCTACATTCCAATGTATACGAAAATAACGATATGCCTCACACGATTAAAACAGGGTTCAGTGGGAAAAATCAGAGAAACTCTGAGTAGAGACGGACTGATTTTTTGCTGGACCCTGTGTGTGGCAAGGCTGTGCAGTTGTGACTGGCCGGCCCTCGCATTGAGTACTTTGACCTGTTGTCAAGGTTACCGGCACAAGTCTTGCATGCAGATCGGAGCAGGCTTTACGGTCTGCGTTGTACTGATCAACATCATCCCCTATCATCCGAAACAAAACCCGTACATGTCTGCTATCAGTGGCTAATCGGGCCATGCAGGTACATGTACAGCGGAGACCAGGGAGGTTATTTAGTAGAGAACAGTATCAGCACATTATCGATCGCCGCTGACCTGTGTTCTTTGAGTCTTTGTAGTCCGTTTTGAAGCTTTCTACCCTCCAGTGCATGATTGATACAGTCAGTCACACATTGACAGTTGAGGCACGCACATGTACTTGTCCAGTTTACTGAGTTGTTTACGTGAAATGTGTAGGCACAAACGACGGGGAGTGTCTTGTACGTGTGTGCGTGCCTGTGTGTGTGTGTGTGTGTGTGTGTGTGTGTGTGTGTGTGTGCCTGTGTGTGTAATCCCAGCACAAGTTGCTATGTCTAAAACATAGCTGTTCGCTATCATCGCTCTCGCGATGGGCATGTCTGAGGTCTGAGGTCTGAGGTGTGTGTGTATGTGTGTGCCTGTGTGTGTGTGTGTGTGTGTGTGTGTGTGTGTGTGTGTGTGTGTGTGTGTGCGTGCCTGTGTGTGTGTGTGTGCGTGTGTGTGTGCGTGTGTGTGTGTGTGTGTGTGTGCGTGCGTGTGTGCGCATGTGTATGTGTATGTGTACGTGTGTGTGTTTTTTGCTTTATGAGTAGATCCAGCGACGGAATTAGCAATAGCCAAGCAGCGCATACGGCTACTCGAGGACAGTGCTGAAAAGCAATTGACCGAGGTAATGGCATGAATTGTGGTTTGATGAGTAGTGTTTGCACTCCTGTCTCATTGGGTAGTGCTACATCTACTTTGCTGGGTTACAAGTTTCAAGCTGGGCTTGTGAACGTATGCCGCTGAAATGTACATGTCAGCAGAAAGCAGTTAATATGAACTTGTATCTTTCACACAAACAGTTGTTAGAAAAACTAGAATAGTATCTGGTTGGTGCTTGCCTCTCTCTGGCTTTACTCGGCTACATGTACTGAGTCCTGTGGCCCTCAAAGTTAGGGTGTGGCATTTCCTGAGGTGAATTTGTGTCCTTCGATAGCTCAGTTGGTAGAGCGGAAGACTGTAGTCGGTGTCAGTAAAATGACAGTAATCTTTAGGTCGCTGGTTCGAATCCGGCTCGAAGGATTTTTTTCTTTTTTTCTTATTTTTTTATGAACTCGTCCGGTTGATATTATTATTTATCTTCACTTCTCCAACTCTAAAAACCGGTCTCTGGATCTCGGCACTGGAACTTTGTTATTCATATTTTCACCGGAATTACCTACTGATAATGGGCCAGGCCCGAAACATTGGTGGAGTGTCAAGTTATTCGCAGTGAAAAGACCGTTTTGGAGGCGGAGAAGTGAAGAGTTTCACATGTGTAAGTGGCTGTGTTGGAGTTCACGGATAATAGGGAGGTTTAGTCCCACGTAATCTGTGGGTACTTTACGTGTGTGTACCACGTGATACTCAGTGACCCACGTACAGACGTTTTCTGATTCACGGCATAGGCTCACCCACGTTCCGCCAGAACGTGGGTGAAAATCAGAATGGAGCGCATTTTGCGAGCTGTGAGGGTGCTCAGCTGAAGAAGTTTCCGAAGCACGAAATCAAAATATTCGATGAACTTCTTAGGCCCGGGTAGCTTCGTCTTTGACCAGGTTTGGACCTTTCGCTTCATGCTTTTGTTTGTTCCGTGTGACTAAACACAACATTGCAACGTGGATGCCCTTCATCCACTTTACGTGGATCACCCACGTACGCGTTTCCGTTACATGGGAACTAAACCTCCCTAGTTACTGTAGGGATGAAACGATCATCCAGATCTTCTTATCGAGTGCCGTATATTATAAACGATCGAGTTATCGTAAAAGGAGTATTGGATATGTATGACGTATCAAAATGATAGTGGTCTCCGGAACATGATAATAATGCATGAATGACTTGCGCATACAGTAACAATACAGTACTATTATACATGTACATGATCCCAAAGTTAAAGGTGCGAAGGTGACTAGAAAAAGGTGTGAATATTGGCACCTTGGATGACTCGCAATGCTTGGGTTGACTATGCAGCGCAGACAGTGTGATTAATTTTAGCTAGTGGTAGTACAGTACTATGCACACATACGAGTAGCGATCATAGAGATAACGAGTAAGTTCCGAGTAATTGGTGTAATCGTTTCATCCCTAATAATTAGAAAAGTTTATTCCGCTTGACATCAGTATTTTTTGGTGTCCTATTACAACAGGCTGAGCGGCTCAAGTCTCTGACAGATGATCTCAGAGAACAAAAGGATGCCAGTGAATTACAGATTGCTGTCATTTCCAAAGAGTACCGGCAGTTACTTCAAACGAAGGAGGTGAGCATTTTACTTATTGTACTTCTTTGCAGGTGTGTGTTGCATTGTGTGTGTGTGTGTGTGTGTGTGTGTGTGCGTGTGCGCGTCCGTGCGTGCGTGTATGCGTGGTGCGAACGCGCACATGTGCATGTATGGAGGCTCGGTTTAAAGTCCCCTTGCCTATCGCGCATGAATGATATCCACGCAGCCCTACCTTGGTAGTTCTAAAAGACACACTCATGGCAAGAAAACCTGAGCAAATCCAAGCTGTTCTGTATCGTGATCATGAGTACGGGGACTGGGATCGTACTGCTGTACTGGTGCACTGCACGCAGCTGGACTCAAGTGTGCTGTAGTGAAAAAATTCCTGTGTGTAACTCAGTCCCTCCTCCCCCCCCCCCCCCTCAGTTCTTGGTTCTATTTTTGATGCATGACAAGTCGGCTTGTACAAGTGTGAACAAATTCAACATGTGCAGTACATGGAGTCATGCTTGTGCGTCAGTCTTCTATGGCTGTAGTGAAAACTATTTCAAACTCCTAACTACATAAGGAATGCACATACATGCTGTACTGTAGCAAGCAAGGAGGTACCACACATTCGTTATCGTATCGCAGTCTAACAAAAACAGAATTCAGAACGAAGAGACCCAACTCGCATTGTGCCAAAAATGTTCTCTGACGAATTTCGTTGTGTGCAGTGTTGCAGTCCTGTATTGTGCTCTTTCTTTTTCCTTCCGGTGTCAGACTGACCTGAAAGATGTCCGTTCGGAACTAGAGAAAACGCGCAGCGACTACGAAGTGCTGCTCAACTCCTCTCTGCGCCAGCAGCCACCGCCGCGGTGCAATGGCTCCGTATCCAGCTCTGCGAGATCGACGCCGCTTAACGGCATGGGAGGGCAACTCTCAGCATTCGCCCCTCCAGCCTCGTCGTCTAATGGACCTACGAGTGGTAAGTTCTGCGTCTGTACTCGTGCAAATTTGTAGAATAGGATGACTTGTGTCCCTGCGATTAAACGTGTTACTCACAAGGGATGGGTGTTCCAATCTTTAGTCTACTTGTGTTGTGTGATGATTGGTTTTGCCATGAAACTCTGAGTAACAACGAAACAGCCCTATTTTACTTCCTTTTGTGTACCTCTTGCGTACTACGCTCTGCCCATTCCGGGCATTTGAGCACTGTTGCAGGTTAAGGCGCACTGCCACTGTGTAATCTACTTGTACATGGATTTTGACTTTTGAGCGTGGTTCTGTATATGTTAGCTCAGATGCTCATGTCCTGTGGACTTCCTGTCTTTCCTTTCCTTCCTTCCTGAACTTTCCTTCCTTTGTTTTTCTGGTTAGGTTTGGATGCAGTGGATGGCCCTGGCGAGAATCGTCCCTACCCTGACCTTGACGAGGACGCATGGGCCGAGGATGTCCACGATGCCATGTCCAACCAAACACAGATCAACCACCTCAATCAAGAGCTGACAAAGTCCATCGCCGAGGCAGACCACTGGCGAAAGGTCGCACAGGTACCGACACCGTTTTTAAGCTTGGCAAGAAAAAATACAAATTTTAAACTCTTCACCATCGTCATCGGGTCTCGATAAATGTTTTTCACGGGCCAGTTTTCGTGAGAAATATTATTTGAATCCTGATGATGCTGGTGAAGAGTTCAACATTTGTGTTTTTCTTGCAGTCATTAGCTTCTTTTTTCTTTTTTCTCTTCGAAAGTTGTTTTTAAAAGCACCTGTAGATCTTAGAAGACTCTGACTGGTGTCAATTTACACCTGGCAATACGCCTTTTGTGCGTTGTACAGATGCACGAAATCCCGTAGAATACCGTAGAACCTAATGGGTGTTGAATGTGCAGGACCCTATTGTGTTTTCTGCTATTTCCACTAAGAAATGGGCCCTGAAGGCATTTCAAACGAAAACCTTTTCTGACAAAGATCTAGGTAGTCATTAGTTCTAACCAAAGTGAAGAAGCTGGAATAGGGATTGTCTGCCCTTAATTATGAGGCTAAAATTGGTCAAATGCGCATGCATAGCACACAATGAACACCCAATCGGTTCTGTACACACCTACGCCCTAGTACTGAACTTCGTACATCTGTACAACGCGCAAAAGGCTTATAGGGCTGAGTGTTGACGACAATGTTTCCACTGATGCATACGCTCCGCAGAGTGAACAATCTTGTTCATTTGTGTGAGCCAGAACTACAGTCCATTCATCGCTGGTATGGTATCTTTATCTGGATTTTTTGTCATATGCTGCCGTCATCTTCGACCAGAACTCGTGGTTCATGTCGTTCTTTACTTCTGTTCTACTGTGTGCCGAACAGTCTCTTCAACGTTCCAATGGAAACGATGTCGCTCCGTCTTCGCCGACGTCGAGCGAGGACCTTTTCGTTCTCCGCAATGAGATTCAGGTAAGGACACCCGTCCCTTTTTTTTGTTTTCTATGCCCCCACTGGCAAGGTGAATGCTTGCTTCTGTCGAGCCCATTCAACAGATAACGTTATGTTTGGTAGGCGTGTAGCATTTAAATTAGTGCTGGACGGACAGGATCACGTCTGTTGCACTTCTCGAATATTTCCGTTTGTTATTTCGTACAGCTTGTAGTAATAGCTACTCACACACAGCTTTCTGTCCTTCTAATGTATGTTTCTATTGTACGTGACATCACTTCCAGAAGAAGACTATTTCTAATGTTTGAGGTTTATTGCGGCACGGCCCAGTGCAGACTTGCACGCTCCAGGTAGTTCTGGGCTCTTGGCTCTTGGTTTGTAGTTAACACAGTGTACTACCGCATGCTGTGTACGCTGTTGTACAGTCAACTTCACTTATAACGACACTCGGCGAGGCATCAGAAAAGTGTCCTTAGTCGCGAAGTGTCGTTATACCCGAAGTCTCATTATATGTATTACAGTTGGATGGGACTTTTGCTCTGGGCATGGAAATTCTGTCGTTATTCGCGAATTATCGTTATATCCGCAGCCATTATTAGTGAAGGTGACTGTATATCAGCAACAGCTGACTTGCTTTTGAATGCATGTACCCTTGGTTGGTATGTGTCACGTGTGTGTGTGTGTGTGTGTTTGTACGTCTGCTTACATGTACCTTTGCTCTTGTGTGTCACATGACAGGCACTGCGTGACACTCAGAGTCGCCTTGTCGACGACCACCAGGCACAGTTGACAGCATTGCAAGAGGTGCACCAAGCCAATATCCTGTCTCAGCAACAGGCTCATTCTTCTGCTCTAAGCGAACTCCAAGTGCGCCTGCAAGCTGCGGAAGAAGCCAGATCTGTTCCTATCGATCGCAGCATGTCTTTGGATGGTGGGTCAACTGGTTGTGTCATGCTGTGGATCATGCATTCGCGCTTATTTTATATCTGAATGTAATGCAAAGCAGAGGTGCTTGCCTGTTCTATTTAGTTGTTATTTGCACAATCTTTAGCGAACGTTGTGATACGGGGCTGCCATGCTGATCCCTTAACGGAAATTTCCTTTTAAATTTACGACATGAGCGAGTGCCGTGGCAGTCATTTTTTCAGTTTGATTGCTCTGTTTCAATTGGTGTGTATGTATGTGTGCATGAAGGTTTATATGTATGTTGGGGTGTTGTTATCGTACCGGTGTGTATGCTGGCTCACGATTTGTATCTCGGTGGAGCAGGCAAGCTCAATCTCAACGCCGCTGTGTGTTAAGTGATACCCTCTCTTGTGCGTGTTTGCTGTTTATATGCGTGCCGCTAGATCACGAGCAGGACGATGGGCAGAAATCAATCAGGCGCTTGGAAAACTTGGTGTCCGCATGCAACGCAGAGAACGATCTACTAAAGAGTCAGCTAGCCACGTTAACATCGGATTTATCTACAGAGAAGCAGCGCACTGCGGATGTCTCTGCCACAGCTAAGCAGGTAGCTGCCGAGAGAGATGCGCTTCGTCAGGAGCAGTCGACTTTAGCGCAGCGCCAGGAATCCTCTACTGCGGAGCACAACAGGCTGGTCGAGAGTCTGAACTCTAAGCTGTCTCTCTTGCAGCAGCAACTGTCCAGCAGCAGCCAGGAGCACGACGCTGAGCTGCTGTCAGTCAGGGAAGAGTTGACCACTGCACAGCGGCAGTGCAGCTCAGTAAACGAGAACCATGCTCAGCTGCAGCAGCAGAACGCACAGCTGGCGGCACGTCTCGAACAGCAGCTCCAAGACACCCAGCGGCAGCAAGAGCAGCTTGCCAATGCCAGCACCCACGCCAGTGTAGCAGCAGTACCAGCAGCGCCGTGTGAGGAGTGCAAACGACTTGACGCACGGCTACAGAGCTCGCAGCAGCAGCACACGACTGAAGTCAACGATCTCACGGCACGCGTCTCTGAGCTGAGCGCAGCACGCCAAGCTGCTACTCAAGAGCTCGAGCACAAGTTGAAGTGTGCGAATGATGCTCACAGCAAGCTGATGGAGCACATCACGAACATGAGCACAGCCCATGATGCAGAGCTGATGGAATTAGCCGACGAACGAGACAAGCTTGCCACTGAGAATGAAGCTCTGCGTCGTCAAACGGCAGCAGCTGATTCTACCAATGCCACTGTGATTGGTGGTGGTAGTAGTAGTAGCCCTGTGGACACTGCGAGTCATGATAAGATCCAGCTGGCCTCTGCACTTTCATCTCTGAAGGTGGCGGAGGAAAAGCTCGTCCGTGAAAGACAGCTACGTTCGCGGATCGAAGGGGACCTTCAGATTTCGCAAACGAAGGTAAAGGACTCGCTGGAACAACATGACAAGTTGGTAACAGAGGCGGATACACTGCGCGCCCAACACGAGGCAATGCAGCAAGCATCCTTGCACGTTTCAGAACAGATGAAGTTCCGTGAAGCAGCGTTTGAGCAGCTCCGTACCGAGTATAACAAGGTTGTGAGCAGCCATACGAACGCCACCAGCGACAGCAACCCAGGTACTGACCAGAGTTCTAAAAAGGCTGACATTGTGGAAAGCAGCAGTAGTGGTTCCGTTCACATAGATACCAATCAGATCAATGCTCATTTGAAGGCACTGAATGAGGCGGTATCGCGTCTGTGCGCCGTCTGTGGAAGTCCTCTCGTTGCAAACACGCCGGATGAAGGTTCCTCTGTGGATATCTCGGTGCGGCTATCCCACTCCACGGCCCAGATTCAGCACTGCGGTCAGCTGGTCGGTGCCGTCTTGGAGCAGTGCAGGCGTATTGCACAGGCGTCGGCACAGCAGGCTGCTCCGAATGCGGCAACGCCCGTGACACACGCCACTCCGGTCATGGCTACTGCAACACACCCTGCTGCTGCTGCTGGTGGTGGTGGTGGTGCTGCTGCTGCTGCTGCGAGCGATTCGTCCCGACCTCGGCCGTGTCAGGTGAGCTGAGCTGCTTTTTTTTTGTCTCTTGTAGCTATTGGTGTGTTTATGGAGCAGATTTCTAGTGACCTTTGTGCATACTGTAAGACATGTTATTATAACGAGTCGCAAATTTAACGATTGTCCAAAATTCAGAGGTTAACGAGAAGATATGTTAACGATCTTGCAGTATTTTGCCATATCCACACACAACATATATGAAGCAGTGCGGCCTCAACAGATCTTATTATAACGAAGAAATGTCATCCGTTAAAACGTTAGATTTGCTTCCTCGTTATATATACATGTCTTACAGTAGATGAATGGCGTCGTACGTCATGAGTGTGAAATGTCTCCTGAACTGCTGATGTTCACCAGTTGTCGTACATGAACCTCAGTGTGTTACACTAGCTGAGTTGTAGACAGCAGAGCTGCAGACATCCCTACAGCTTTCATGTGTACATAGTACTACTTGCAGAGTGCAGCCCGTGTGTATGTGTTTGTCACGTGATGTGAACTTCTGCCATCGCAGAGCTCAGACTATAGTGTGCAGTTGCACACTCCTGCAGGTCATTATGTTCTTAACATGAGTTGGATTGCATTTGTATTTCGTATTTATTTGAGTTTGTTGCCTCAACAGTACGACCTACAACTATCAAGACGGATAAACGCAACAAGTCCACTCAGCATAGCTAACAAGCTTTTTCCCAATTTCGTGTTTTGTTTCTGCAACTTGTAGCAATGTGCAGTGCTGCGTGGTCAGTTAGACGCTGCGATGGCACAGCTTCACACAGCCAGGCAGCAAACCGAGGTGGCCGCACACAACGCCACCGACACCATCCAGCGGCTGCAGCGGGAAGACCAGCGCCTCAAGCATCATCTTGCCCAGGTGCGCGCGTGTGTGTGTGTGTCACTCTGTGTGTGTGTGTGTGTGTGTGTGTGTGTGTGTGTGTGTGTGTGTGTGTGTGTGTGTGTGTGTTGTTGCAAGATGAGCAGAGTACGGATTTCTCTACTGCCCGAGGAGGCTGAAAAACCAGAACCTGCTCTCGCCAAGCTGACCGGTCTTGTGCGCAATCAAACCCGTTTGGAATGGACTCGGGCAGTAGAGAAATCCGTACTCTGCTCATCTTGCAACCGGGCTTTCTCTCGTCCTCAAGACAAGGCACGGCACAAGTGTTTGGCTGAGCGCCAACTTCCCGTCCACCAACAGCGTGGTTCAGCACAGTGCGTCAGTTGCTGCCGATGGTTCCGTAGTAAGGGTGGGCTTGCAGTTCATCGCTGCCAGCCTGCACTCCCTGAACATGCAGATACGGCATTGACGGTATCTCTCGCTAGTTGCTGCTTTCAGCATTGTCAACGCTGCAATCGCTGCTTCAAGTCCCGGGCTGGTTTTAACCGCCTTAACTGCAACCGTGGAAAACGTCTTGCTGCAGCCGATAGGGAATCACTGCCGCTGATCTGCATGCATTGCCCGAAGCGTTTCCGACGACAGCAAGATTTGACGAGGCATCAGAAGTCCTGCCAATGACGGTGCCCTCCAAACTCTGGCCCCCTCCGGGGTGACATTGCCCAATAGGCAGTCATGCTTTAGTAGTAGCAGTAGTAGTGTGTGTTGTGTGTGTTGTGTGTGTGTGTGTGTGTGTGTGTGTGTGTGTGTGTGTGTGTGTGTGTGTGTGTGTCACTGTGTGTCAATATGTGTACGCACGCATATGTGGATTTGCGTTCATGCATGTGGGGCAGTGCTATTGTCCCCCCCCCCCCCCCCCCATTTGCCCAGTGTCTTTCACTGCACACCTCACAGTCACTCTATGTCTGACAGTATGTGTTCACCTGCATTGTGCTTACACATTGTGTATACATTATGCTTACGTACGTGCTGCACTGTGCTATTGGCTGCTATTCGTCGTCCGAATCTGCTGTGCCGACATACTCTGTATTCCTGTGTTTGATGACCGTCACAGAAAGACGAGGAGCACAACCGCGAACTGTCCGAGTTGGCCCAGCGTGATTTGGCGTTGCGGACCGAGATTGGCCGGCTGCAACAGGAACTCCAGTCATCCGTGACACAGTCACACGCTCAGCAGTGAGTTCTCTTTGTTTCATCACTACTAGTGCTCACCTAGTAGATAAACCTTGTTTTGTTGAAATCCGTTGTTGGTTGACAGCATGAAACAAGGTGGAGGACACCGTGTTCGGAAACAGTGACCTTTTTACAACCATCCACGGTTGGTAGAGCAACAACAAGAAGTCTAAGGCAACTCTCCTAGAATGCAGAGGGTCAGAACCGGGTCTAACATCCATACGGTTCAGATGGTTACAAGACCAGGGCTCTACCAACCGTGGATGGTTGTAGAAAGGTCACTACTGTTTCCGAACACGGTGTCCTCCACCTTGTTACATGCTGTCAACCAACAACATAGTACTCACGTAGTAGTAGCAGTGGTGAGGCTTCGTGCAGCTTCATTCACAGGAAGTGGTTTTAGAGCAGACCCGCTCTTTCACATTCACTCTGCAACCATATCAAACTCGTTTATCGAATCAATTATTACAATATTTCGGCAAAAATGCCCTTTATCAAGTACTCACCTGTCAGTTTTAAGATCGTTTTTGAAATAATACAAACAATGTACACTGAAACATCAGATTACGTAATTCTGAACCCGGACATTCGGGCATCGGTCCAGTGCGTACACTTGCTGCTTGCCTGGTGTGCAGAACGCTTGCCTTGCAGCATCACCATCCGTTTGTTTGATGCTACTTCTTTGTCCGTATTAGATCGGGGCTGGCCAAGGAACTGTCCAGCGTGAAGCAAGCAATGTCCGCCATGTCCGCCGAGAAGGTAGCGCTACAGCAGGGTTATCTTTCTCTGCAGCAGCAGGCCGAGAACAGTGGCACAGCGTTGGCACGATTGCAGCTCGTCCTGGAGCAGTTCCAAACTGGTAATACACTAATATTGTCACAGGCTAAATTCAATGTCCCAGTCCTACAATAGAGTTGTACAGTACTGTCGGACGCCGAAGAATGGAACATTGAAGAGCAACCAGGCTAGAATTTTTGCCAAGCACAGTATACCAATGTACATGGTGAATCAACTGTGCATAGACTGTAATACATGAAAGTAAGAGCGGTCTAGGCTAGGAGGCTGCCCCCCCCCCCCCCCCCCCCCCCCCTAGTTCTTCAGCGACCCACAGTACTGTAGTCCACCAGTCTTGCACTGCTCAACGTATAGAGATACGCAGAGCATAGATCATCCTCGTCTCATGATTGGTCTATCGCTTGGACTGGCCGTCGCTTTACTGTGTGTCCCATTCCTATGCTGGTGCTTGTTGATTTCACTTCGTGACTGAAACCCAGAGCCACAACCCCTCCCTTGCTCACTGTTCTAGTGTGATGAAGTGACTACGAGTGCTTGTCCCAAATCAAGTACAGAGAAGCCTAAGTTACATGTATGTAGGGCTACCGCTCAAGGGACCTTACAAGTGTGGTCCTCGTGTACACGTGGTCTCCTGATCCAGGGTCATGTGACTGGAAGTAGCATCCCCTGATCCTAGTTGCAGTAGTCCTCTGGGACAGGTGGTCGTCTTATTCGAGTGGTCGTCTTGACAGGTTTTACTGTACAAGTCATGTACGTGCTGTGTTCGCACTGCAAATTGGTGACTCTGTATCATTGTATCTGTGTTGTATTTTCCTGCTACTGGAACTGCTGCTGCTGCTCCTGCTGCTGCTGGGGCTACTGCTGCCACTGCTGCTGCTGCTGCTGCTGCTGCTGCTGCTCCTGCTGCCACTGCTGCTGCTGCTGCTGCTGCTGCTCCTGCTGCTGCTGGGGCTACTGCTGCCACTGCTGCTGCTGCTGCTGCTGCTGCTGTGTTTCTCTGTACCAATAACGTACTGTAGAGCGTGATGCCGAGATCAAGAGAGCGTGCTGTGCCGCCGAGGAACGGCTTGTGGAGTACCAGCGTCAGATCACGGAGCTCCGCGAGCACATTCGTCAGAATCAGGTACCGTTACACAGCGCGGAGAGTGTAATGCAGTCAGCGAGCGGGTCTTGCCCTGTGCCCGTGCTACAGTCTGGTCGCATTCGTAAATTTGCATTGAAAACACGGTCCATTACGCGTGTCCCTATGAGGTTTATATTGTATTGAATGTATCCAGAATGCAAGCCGTGAGGTGGACTTTGTCCAAACATTTCCAGGAAAAGTGTGTATCGTACGAAAATGATGAGCTCTTGTACAGTGCTAGTATTTGGCAACTATTTCCGTTGGTATGACGTGTTGCTGTGCGTAGATTGATGAGGACGAGGTGATCAATTCCAATGCCGAGGTGCAGTCGCTACGTCAGAGCTCCATGCAACAAGCCCAGGAGCTAGAGGTTCAGAAAGACCTATGTGAGTATGACTGTGCCCTGCCTCGTCTTGCTGATTTATCAAAGAGTAGAGAGAACATGCATTATACCTACAAAAGAATAAATAAGGACTTAGTCGGAGGGAAGCATTTTATCAGACGAAGAGACGAAGCGAGCTGTGAACCTGATGAGGCCTTTCGTACCATTACTTCTCAGATCAGTACAAGAGAATCCATGTATACCGTATTTTCCCTAATATATGTACACGTCTCCAATACTAGTACGTCTCCAATAGTGGTATATGTTGAGCATGGATCGAAAATGTAAAAGAACACCAACATTGTCCGGCTTAGCCCATCATCAGTGTGAAACACTACTACTTATACAAGTTGAACTCGGATGGTGAGCCAATATAGTTATGATGAAGAAAGGAAAAGGACAAAATATTACGAGTTATGACAAACTGTCCACCAACGTAACCAGATCTTTCCCCTCCTGGACCTTTCCGAACCTGAGCCTTCCAAGTTGGAAGGTTGTTGGTTTGCGCCTTGGAGAAGTGTTGGAGCTAGGTGTCAGGTCGCCAAATGTCTCAGTACTCCTCGTCAGTTTTGTGCCATTTTGTCGCACTCGCTGACTGTATAAGATCTGGTTACGTTGGTGGACAGTTTGTCATAACTCGTAATATTTTGTCCTTTTCCTTTCTTCATCATAACTTATACAAGTACTTGGATTGAAAAAGCTTGGATTGAAGAAATGTGCCCTGAATGTGGAGGTGTGCGGCTTTTGGAGCATGATATACCATGTATTTGCTGGTAGCCAATATCATTTTGTTTGTACTGCACTTCAAAGTACTTGTTTCCTGTATGTACATCCTCTCTGTGGCCAGTGATACGGGCTTCGTCGCAGTTGCAAACTTGCCGTGCCGAGGTGGTGGAGCTGAGAATGAGCCGCGTGGACAAGTACGTACACCACATGCTGATCCATTTCCCCACTCTCATGCGTAGCAGCTGCGTGCATTTCCTGTTTCTTGGCTCTGTGTGTGTGTGTGTGTGTGCGTGCGTGCGTGCGTGCGCGCACGCGCATGCGTGCGTGTGTGCGCGTGTGTGTGTATGCGTGTCTGTGCATGTGGGTTCGAGGAAGAGTGTTTGGCTCTCGTGTGTAACTTGAACTGTAGTTATCCCGATCTACCTTGTTTATGACTGAGCTTCAAGAACACAGGAGGGGTGTTCGGGCAATGTTGAAGCACACTGGGACATGCACTGGGATGGATAGTCTTGAAGGAGCCAGGACACATGATAACATGACTGCGAATTTGATACTTGAAAAACCCTTTTGACTGGCTCTTTGAAGTGTTTTCGTTTTTGTGAAAGTTCGCATTTCTCTGTCAGATGTGTGCTATGTCTTATGCTATGGTGGCCACTGGCCATGTATTTTGCACCAATACAGTAGTTGAGAAACCAGTAGTCTGTGCTGCCTGAACTGTGTGTTGTGTTTATAATTGTGCATTGCTTGCGTGTATGTTGTTGCTGTTGCTCCAGGGATCTGGTGAAGAATCTCTTACTGAGCTACTTGTCTGCGCCGGCAGCCAAACGAGATGAGGCACTACATCCGATTGCCAGCATATTTGGTTTCCAGTCACACGAGCTTGCAAAGGTATGTGGTTGGGTGTGCGGTGTGTGTGTGTGCGTGTGCGTGCGTGCGTGCATGTGTGTGGTGTGCAGTGTGGGTAAGTGTAAGTGTGTATGTGTGTGTGTGTGTGTGTGTGGGGGGGGGGGGGGGGGGGTTACATACTAATCTTGTGTCTTTGTGTGGCATCTGGGTATTATTAACGAGAGATTTCTCCGCATTTCACATGAAGCAGAACCTCCCTAAATAGCAATTCTCGTGGTCTCCATCATTATTCCTTGCCTCTCCTGCAGATTGCCCGTCCGAAGAAAAGTCGCTCCGCGTCCACTAGCGGCTGGCTCGGTGGCTGGTGGGGTGGTGGTGGTGGCAGCGGTGGCTCTGCAGGTCGCTCGGCAGCAGCCAGTCCCATGTCTATGGCACAGGTATGTTGTGTATGACTGATGTATGTCAACAGATATTCGGCGCATATCTATTTTCGACTATTTTCGGCCTCTACATTTTTGGGGAAGAGTGTGTTGCTCCCTACATGGGAGCTCGTGGTTTTCCTGCCGACTTGAATTCTCTCTTGACTGACTCATGACTGCCATCCAGAGCACACGAGAAGTCCATCGAACCGTCCACTTGGCAAACCTGCAAGAAAGCACCACTCCCTGCTCAATACACAGTGTTTCAGGGAATTCACCCCCCCCCCCCCCCCATCAGTTGAGCTTGAGTAGGCTGAGGAAGACACTCTTCCCCTACTATCGCCGAAGTCGCACCAACCTCTTCTACATTTTTGGCCTAAAATTTGTTGTGGCCGAAATTTTGTTTGGTAAGTTTCAGTGTGGCAGTGTATACAGCTAGCAGTAGTACAGGCTGAAATTTCAATGCGGCCAAAATGTGTTTTAGTCCTGGGAAACCGAAATGTAAGCGCACCGGAAATTTCTAGACTTACAGTATTGCAGCACTGGCATGGCCGTTTGTTCTAATCCAGCATGCAGTGCACAGTGTGTTGTTCGTGCAACAGAGTGTAGTACTGTAAAGCCGGAAAGTCTAAAGAGTCACAAAGTCTAACGTTTTAAGTTTTAACGACCAATTTTTCCGTTATTTGAGGAAACGTTATCGTGAACCCGGTTTGAGATGTCTGTGTAAAGATGCGCATACATCGATGCATGTTCTTTCCATTGTAGAAACATCGCTAAACTTTCTGCACGTTATCATGCCAAAAATTACAAAACGTTAAAAACGTTTTGGTCGTTAAACTTTCCGGTTTTACAGTATTACATTGCACTTTACTGGTGTGGAGTATGACCCCTGTCGTTATTTGTACTTTCAAGGGTTTTCTGAACAACAGTAGACTAAGGCACCTTCTGCAGCATCCTGGTTATGTAGTTGCTGACCTGGGCACAGCGGGGTGAGTGTGTCAGGAGTCGGAGCACAAGGCAGGTGTCTATGTCAAAAATATATACTTTCCTTTGCTTGATGATGATCTGTCTAGCAATATGTTCAGATAGTAACCAGAAGCTGCCCCGAACCTCTCTGGTTGCCTTCTAAAATGCTATTACACTGCACATGGTTGAATGCTGGTCTTTTTCAAAATGTTTTTTTGTTTTGTTTCTGTTCTTATTCCTTGTGTTTATGTGGATGCTGCAGCGACCCTTCACCGAACTGTTTGTAGAATTTCTCGAAACCGAGTCATTGCCAGCCGCACCCAAGCAGAATAAGCTCCGGGGCAAGCCCAATCCCGGTCTTGATTTCCGCGGCCCGTTGTTGCCAGCAGCATCGGGGTCAGCTCAACGGTTCGCGGCGGGTTTTGAAGCAGGCATGCCCGAAACTGCCCTGATAGCCACGCTGGACAAGCAGGAGGTGGCACGGCTACCGCTGTTGCCAACGCTGGCCGCACCGGCTCCCAGCTCAAACAGTAGCGGCAGCAGTACGCTGGGAGGCAGCAGTATTAGCGGCATCGCTAGTGTGGCTACAATGCCATCTAGCCTCTCAATAATTTCACAATCGCTGACTAGTCCTGCTGCAGGCAAAGTATAGCTGCATCAAGACTACTATACTAGTAAGTCTTCTTTTCCATGGCGGGTTATTCATAGAGGTTTTGCTACCGTCAAGCACGATAAAAGTACATCAGGGTAGACAGCATAGCCCGTCTAGTTTTACTTGTGTCTCTTATTGTTATAGTTCAGAGGTGTCTTGTTGCGAGCGGTCTGGTATTATTGAAGTCAGGTCTTGCGAATTCCGATATTCGTTGAACTCTTTTTATCATTGAGATTCCCGTCTAGTCCAGCGAATTGAGTATTGATTTTCTCCATTCTATTTTTTATTTTTTAATATCACCCCTGCTGTGTGTTTTGAATCGAAATAGAACTTGGCACACTTTCTATTTGATCATCGTGTACGCTACACCAAGCATTAGCTGATAGGCGGAAACACATACTTTTGCAGGCAATCACCGATTTATGATTAGCGTACCGTAAAGTCGCGGATAAAAGCCGGGCTTATAAGCACATAAGCCGCTTCCTGCATCAGGCTTCAATGCAAACCAGGCTTGTATGCAAACCATGCTTATATGCACCACTGATATTTTTGCCAGGCTTGTATGCACATCGGCCGATCCGGGCTTGCATAGAAGCCAGGCTTCTACGCGCGACACGCGTAGATTTACCACTGACTACCGGTATGGCGGCAGTTTTACTATGCACTGTACATAGCGCATGCACTCTTGACCTACCCGATCCGCGCTTGCATAGAAGCCAGGCTTCTACGCGCGACAGGCTTATATGCATTGACCCGTTCGATTTCCAGGCTTCTATCCGCGATGTGCTTGTATGCAAACCCGGCTTTTATCCGCGACTTAAAGGTAATCATATCATGGTAATCGTTGGCGAGATGACTCGCAGTCTTCTGAGCTATCTTCTCGTATGCCCCCCCCCCCTCCTGCTTCTGATGGGGCAGTTATTCATCAGATTGCAGCCGTCGTGTTGTGATGGTGGTTTGAAGCACCACTGGCACCTGGCCCAGGACCACTGGATCACTGTAACTGAAGTACCGTAAAATCCCGCCAGAGCGCCCCGTCTCTCCCATCCGCCCCTCCCTGACTTCTTGTCAGGGACGTGATTGATTGTATCCTCGTATGACTCTGTCGCAGTCTGTGATGCCGTACTGAACTGCAGACGCGTTGTCGACCCCGTTGGAAATGTACGCAACAGTGCCCACCCTCCTGACCAGGGATCGCACAAACCCTGCGTTTTGTCAGGTCAGTTTTCGTAGGGTGAGTACTTTTTCATGTAGCACTGAATGCGGCAAGTAGGACTCGCCCATCCGCCCCTCCCCACCTGAAGCGTCGAGGAGGTAGGGGCGCTCTGGCGGGATTTTACGGTATAAGGCAATGCTCTGAAGGAGAACATGGAATTTTCTTATGGAGTGTTAGCGGCAAGCTTTCCTCATAAAAACCTATCATCAATTTAGAAAGAGGCAATAAGCAGGCTCATAAAATATTAACAATTGTCTTCATGCAAGCTAGGGAGTTTTAGAATAGATAATTATTATTTTAGGAAGTGAGGTGATTGACAGAGTACTTATTAGTGTTGATTTGAGCAGTGCAAGTCATATCAAACAAAACGGGTCCCGGCTCAGATGACAGACTTGTTGAATATCGGCGTGCACTGATCACCATGACTACACATAATCTGTAGACTCTAGTGAGCACCTAGTCCCGCAGTAGTCATAACCATGGTTACCCAATGCTCCAACGGTATAGAGTTCATGTCATGTCGGTGTGTGTGGCCTGTTCAAAGTAGCACCGCCGTGCGCGCGCCGCCAACGTAACAAACTACATGTATACGGGCTCCGCTGGAAAGTTGCCGTCTTCTTCTCCAACTTGTGATGTTGCTGCTTGTCTCGACGAGGGCTGTTCCACTGTAGACTTGCCTTCATGTGTGCTCTTGCTGCTGCTGCTGCTGCTGCTAATCTCAATGGCATGTTCCTTTGCTGTTTGACTTGATGATAACGAATCCTTCTCCTTCCGTGAATCCGAGGTTTTCTTGACAGCCGTGATTCCTTCTTTGCTTTCCGGTTTAGAGTCAGCCTGTTCTGTCCCATCTGTCCTTTCCGTCTGTTTGTCATCGAGATGATTCTTGTTCGTTGGACTGCGGTGGTCTTTCGGCAAGTTTGCCTCGCTGCGTGGTGCAGGCTGCGGCCTGGTGGAGTTCGACTCGACGTAGTTCTTCGTCTGGTTCCAGAAGTGAACGGGGCTGTTGTGGTAGTCGGGAGATGTGAAGCTAGCCGCCTCGCTTCCGTCCAGCACGGGCGGTATGCCCATTCGCAGTGGTATTGTGCTGCGGTCCAGTGGGTGGCTGTGCATGGACAGAATGAGAAATCAGAACAGAATGTGCCATGAGCAACTGGACATGATTGGGCTGAATCCTTTGTGGGTCATTATCTCCAACTTGGGCATTTGCCCTACTTGCTCTCTTCCCGACCTGGGCACTTCCCCTCTGCTTTGATTGTTATCTCTATACAACTGAGGCAATGCCAGAAACAGCTCACAGTGCACTCACCTGGGCTACAATACAAGCAGTTGTACTGGTAGACCGAAAGATGGCACAGTTTGGTAACTTCTGAGCCACAGTCCATCTTAGCTATCGAGCAGTCTGAGCTTGCCACAATTAGGCACAGTCCGGCAGAGTATTCACCAGTTTGGCATTGCTTTGTTCATGATGATCAGATGTATAAACCCATTGCGCAATGACGTAGTTTGCACCATAAACATAATATCCCACATGGCCACCTGGGAATGGTTGTGTAAGATGGTGAACAGCACACACCTGATCCTAGCGTACGCACCTGCATCTCCTCATACACACTCCTTAAATTATCTGGCAGTGCGCAAATGGGCGTATTAGTCTTACAGTAAGTTCAGTATCCTCATAGACTATCACTTACTAGAGATAGTAAGAGTCAGCGGCTGCACCAGCACCATGCAGTGCATGCTTCTCATGATGCAGGACCAGATCAACTAGCGATGGGCACTGCGTGTCGCTGTTCGGGTTGCACGAGTAGCCGTGGTTGCTCTCAAACACTCGGAAATGGCGCACCAGCGTTGAGCTCGCCCTGAGAATTACAGGAGCCAACAGAACATGATGGTGTTGAGTCAGGTGACTACAAATTGCAGGTGGCAAGGGGCACGTGAGCACTAGTATCTCTGCACGTGAGTACTGGAAAAAAAAAACTAGTATCTCTGCACGTGAGTACTGGGGAAAAAACTAGTATCTCTGCACGTGAGTACTGGGAAAAAAACTAGTATCTCTGCACGTGAGTACTGGAAAAAAATAGTATCTCTGCACGTGAGTACTGGAAAAAAAAAGTATCTCTGCACGTACGTGAGTACTGGAAAAAAAAACTAGTATCACTGCACGTGAGTACTAGTATCTCTGCAAGTGCCCAGCAATATTTTCAGCCATACATGGCTAACTATGGTGAACTTGGAGAATGTCCTACTTAATTCGGTAGGTATTTCCTGATCGTCGTTGGAGAGGCGTATTTCTACAGCTTGGTTTCAGTAGGTTGCAGTGCACAAAAGCGTGTGATTTACCTGACGGCAATGGCGTACGTCCCAGGCTCCACTTCGCGCTCTCTTAGCAAGTAATCCTCGTCTTTGCCGTACTTGATCAGGAGCAGCTCGGCACGGTCGCGGGTCATTCGGCCAAAGAACCAACTGCAGAATAGCAACAGCAGAAACATGGACAGTTATTGGTATAGTTCAAGATGCAGCACACAACCGTGTGCATGAGCTACTTCTGTATTATCATGCCATATAGCAACACAACTATATACACTATTGTCATTTGATGTCGCCCGTGCCCGTCGGAACCAGTGCGGCTAGTCAGATGGATACAGGACCAACTGTTTGGCCACCAACACGTGCTGACTGACGTGGAGGGCATATGTACTTGCCCTATCACACACAAAGTGTGAAAGGCTATAATATACAATCATGGATTACTGCTGGGCCAAATAAAACTGCTTCCGGCGGTTCCGTAACCGGTTCACAAGTGAGTCACCATTCCTAGTCATGACGTGCATGCATGCACTCACAAGTGAGTCACCATTCCTAGTCATGACGTGCATGCATGCACTCACAAGTGAGTCACCATTCCTAGTCATGACGTGCATGCATGCACTCACAAGTGAGTCACCATTCCTAGTCATGACGTGCATGCATGCACTCACAAGTGAGTCACCATTCCTAGTCATGACGTGCATGCATGCACTCACAAGTGAGTCACCATTCCTAGTCATGACGTGCATGCATGCACTTGACGATTCTAGTAAGCGCTTATGGTAAGCTGTAGCACTTACTCGAATGCGCGGTATTTTGCACTCTCGTCAAACGATCGCTTCTGCAAAGTCACCAACACACAGACAGAGAAACACCATGTTGCTACTACCGTTATACGCAATGTCCCGACAGCAGAGTAGTCGAGACATTCCATGGCAGCATTGCTGAATCCGGCAAGCACACTGTGCTGATGAATAGCTCATTTAAGTTACGAGAGAGAGAGAGAGAGAGAGAGAGAGAGGGGGGGGGGGGAGAGAAAGGGGGGGGGGGAGAGAAGGGGGGGGGGATCTCTGAGCTTTGGCCAAGCAAGCACATGCACATGGAGCTAATAACTGTGTTGCTGTTATCCCGGTATGCTGTTATCCCGGTATGCTTAGTGAGTGCAATGCGGCCACATACCTTTCTTCGGCTCTGCATGGATGCCTGCGGTGAGAATGAATCGCTGAATTGTCCCGGATTAGAACTGGCACGCGCTGCAAGCAATACAAGACAGTAGAGCAGAAGCCGGTGCAGAGATGACTCTTACAATTGTTGTTTTCTTGCAGGGGCGTTTGGAATTGCTCTTTATGATCATTGCGTTCTGGTGCATATCAGATACTGATGGTTGGGTATCATGGATAGGTCCCTATTTACAAGGCAGGAAAAGTGAGACACTTCCTGATAAACTGCATACCGCTGATGTTATGTCGATATAATTTGACTGTAGGTTTTAAGATGGTGCCATTGAGTATTATTGCTGACATGGTCTACTCTCGATTGTAGGTAATCGGCCGAAGGCTATGATGTAAACTGAGAGCCTGCAGGGAGATTCCTATACCAGTGTTTTAAGTGATTGGGACATCTATCACTCTATAGCTGCCAAGGGATCATTTAACACACCTCACTGGGCAGATATGATTTTCAAGTGGACTAAATGGCAGCAAGGTCATCCGGCCATTCAAACTGACTATTTGTATGAGGCAGCCTACAGTACAACATCACATGCACAAGTACATGCCTATGTTCTGGACCGGAGGCAGAACTTAGAAGTTTCCCATGCAGATCCACTGTAGAAGGAACATGTCCGCCGGAATGAATTCATATTGTGGCAGTGCTCGATCATGTCCAGTGTTGCCGGACCAAGTGCACACTGTGTCAACATTATTTCTTTGTGTTTCTTGAACTACGGGTTAAAGTGAACCCGCCTAAGCCACTCGTTCGAGAGATCTTCCAAATTTGACCTCCGCATACAGGTGGTCGCCTTATCCAGGGTCATTTGACTGGAAGTAGCACCCTTGGTCCTAGTTGTAGTGATCCCCAAGGGCAAGCGCCTTAGAGTGGTCGCCTTGACAGGTTTTTACTGTATGCATCCTCTTACTGAGTGGCTTTCGCCGGCAAGGCGAGCGTGTCTCCACCACGTCGTGCTCTTCGTGATCAGTGCAGCTGGTGTGCTGGTCTTGCCGCTGCTGTTGTTGCTGCTGCTGCTGTTGCTCCCAGCAGCACTGGCAGTGTGCAGCCTGGTGGCCAGAATGATACTGCTGTTGCTGTTGTTGCTGCTGCTGCTGTGAGGCCACACTCACCGAATGCCGCTGCTGGCGCGAGATCTCGCTGAGCGTCTCCTTGGACACCATGGAAACGCTGCCGTTGCCGCTCCAGCTGGCCATGCGGCGCAGCCCGGCACGCTCTCCGGTCGGCACGGCAACGGGGTGATGCGCGAACACCGGCTGTCCGTTGGCGCGCTGCCCGGCTATGTGACAGGTGGTGTGCATCGGCGGTGACATGATCTGAAACACATCGTCCTCCGGTGGCACCGGCAGCGGGCGGTTCATCTTCCCCGTCGGATTGAAAAGACGCGTCAGCTTTGCTTTGGCCTTGGCCGCCCTGGATTGCGGTGACGTGTTGGCGTGGTTCGGCGACGTGTCATTCTTCTTCACTAGATAGTAGCCGGCGGGTAGAGAAATGGAACGCGTGGCGTCGCTATGTTCGCGGAAATGCTGCAAAGCGTGACAGCAACAGAACACACAGCAAACAACCACTTGAAACAGTAGTTTGTCGTATTCAAGTTAACAAGGTCTTTTCCCGCGAGGCGCTCTTTGAGAAATTCCACTCATAATGCAACTGGGTTTATAGCTTGCAGCACTGCCTGCTAGCTTCCTGTGGTGTCAGCATTGCTCATGAATACACACACACACATACTTCGCAATGTGCATTAAAGTTCCAAACAAACGTGCAGTTCATCCGAGCACCGGGTGCTAATGCGTGGCAACGATGATGTTCTTGTGTGTAAGGAATGGGGTGGGTGGTGACGTTCACACACTAGGCGGCCATCTTACAAGTGCTGTTCCGCATTGCATGGGGCTCTCGTTGCGGCAGTCGGACGGCAATCCCGCAGAGCGCGTCATCGACAGGCGTCGTCGAGGTGTATCGTTCTGCGCAGCACAAACAGATTATTTCAAAATAAGTTAGTCTCCATGTAGAGCTCTACGCATTCAGCATCCAAGTACACAAGAACATATTAACATGTGTAGTATAGCGTCTGTATACCGAAAACCACAGCGCACCAAGCTTTGTGCTACCAATGCTTCAATGCCCCTGGGCAACCAGCAAACAACTAAATTATAATCATTATACCAGAGCTAGAGGGCTTCTCTTTAGTTTCTGTGCTTCGACTGTACTATCAGGAAGTGAAGCGGACTGTCCTGCGGCAACTATTGGGGCGTACTGCAAATCACCATCCTAGACCACGCACGATTTGCTACATGGACTGTGGTTATAGTTGACTGTGATGAATAAGACAAACGATGACTTGCATAATCTGTCCAAACATTGCTCAGAGCATCGCCAATTGGTGAATCCTGGTTCATGGGGATTTTGTACATGAATTTGGAACAACACAGTCTGGTCTATACTTCTGAAGTAAGATTGGGAGCATGTTCATTTTTTTACAAACTTTACATAGTCCAAACACCTTGTGATAATTCAGATGAATACAGGAATGTCATGGTGGTAGGGCTGACCACACAGGTTAATAGTTCAACACAGCTTAAAACTGGATTTCAATATAATATTTGAGATTCACACAATACCCGTCGGGGTTTTCATGCTATGAACACAGCTCCACTGGGATGCAGAGAACAACATAAAACAGGACAAAGAGGCTGTAGGGACGACATGCCGATGTAGTGAGAGCAACTCAACCGACGAGACGTCTCGCGGGGGAGGGGCGGGGGGGGGGGGGTTGTACTGTTCTAGTCAAGCTTACCCGGCTGACTTCCACGAACGTGTGTGCCGGTCTCAGCGGGGGCACTGGTGCGTCTCTCTGCGCTGCCATTGCCGCCTCTCGTTGTTCACTGCTGATCGTGCGGTGGTGTCGACGTCGGTTGCTTGGCCAGAACCAGGAGATGGCACGGCGCGAGGGCGGCGGTGTCAGCGCTTGACGCAGGCAGTGGAACTGCGCCGCCTCCGACTCGAACAGGGTGGGCAGCGAGAGTGCAGACGGCCGGGTGGGGAAAGCGTGACGCCGGCCCCTCGCGGAGTGCGTCTGATTGCTGCTGTACGGGTTGAGACTTGGCTCGTCCGCCTGGGAGTAAGGAGCAGAAGGACCACCATTCTCATCCGCCTCCATTGTAGCAGAAACATATCAACAAGATACTAATCCTGAGGAAGGTAATCTTTATCTCAAAATCTCAAAATCTTTATCTCAAAGATTCTAAGGCACTAAAGCCAATGCAAGCCCAACGCCATTGCAACTGCTTTGCGTGTGAAACGTGGCGAGATAGTGACAACTTCATTCTGCCGACCATGTTTTCTAGATCTTCTGCTGCATCTGCAGGTGATGTGTGTTTGGAATGTTCATGCTGTTGGCATGATATGCAACCGGCACTCTTCAAGCCGGTGTCTGTAGCTGTCTCCACTGTGCGTACACCCCGGAGCAAAGCTACCTGGTGTCCACACCAGATTACCAACCCGCAGTTGGACATACACTGTAGCACGTTTCTCTACACGCGCAGTTGAAAACTGGTCGTCGTCATTAGAACGCTCCAACATGGGGCTTCACCGCATATGGACACTGTTTTCGAACAATCCGGCACACGTGCACACATCATGGGTGTGGCTTGTTAACAGTCTCCCAAGGTCACAGTCATCCGTCATTGCATTCGTAGAGCCTTACCGGTGCTGGCTGGAAGCAAGAGCTGGGTACGAGGCCCTGCCGGTCCTGGTAGTTCACACGCCACAGGAGAGGATCGTCCTGGCACACCACCAGTACGATAGCACCCTGTGAAGATCACAATTTCCGCAAACACACACACACACATGTACACATGGATGAATTAAACAGTGAATGTAAGCACTACAACCTGAAGAATGAAGTTTCCCTCTCTGGCAATTGAGGATATAGGAGCAAGGTGATAACTTCCTGATTTCGTAGGTCTCCCACTGACAATAAGCGTATACGCAACTTGAGTGGAGTTATAAAACTGTCTGCCTACTGGGCAGAAATCTGGGAAGTGGTCAATCAGTTCTAAAAGTAATTGCACCATCCAGTTCCATTGAACCTGACTGAGTTGCTCAACCACACCGTTTCACTATGGGACTGCTCCTTCTGCCCTCATTAGTTCGGTGCTAGTGTCTCACGGTTTCCTGCCCAGCATTAGCCCACGGGCCATGCCTAATGCCAACTGCTGGTCGGCGGTCCCCATGGCTCAAGGCCTCCTGTAGCTGTGGGTATGCTGGCTGCGGATTACACTGGGTCTGAGCAGGCCACTGTCACATGCTGGGACCACCGCAGGAGGAATTAAGGATACTATCACTGTCTAATAGCACTGTACTCCTAGTCCTACCGCACTGTATTGGTGTGCTGTAAATCAGGGAAGGTGCAGCTGACACACCTCTGTGACTCTAGAGAGCTACCTGCTGCACTGAGTCTGAGGACAGCACTGATGGATGCATTGCTCTGGTCTGAACTCACTCACTCTCACTCTCACTCCCAGCTGCAGTCAGCTCAAAGATCCTTGGCACAGCTCTCCGGTTGTGAGTAAGTCATCAAGGATTAGTTTGCCCTGAGGAAACGTCAGGGAGGAGGACTAGGAGTGTGCACTCCAAACTCAAGATGATTTGGCCATGTGATGACTGGACAATGCCCAGTGCAGACTAGAGCTACTATAATTTCACTTCATCTCCAGAATGAAGATCAAATCAACGTTTACTCTGAGCTCTATCCAGTTGACAAGCCCAATTGGCCAACTAGACAGCCCAGCTTGCCTTGATAAATGATTAGGCAGTCCAAATCACAAGGAGAAAGACACAACAGGGCTGACCGTTTTGTTCCCTGTCTCCCAACCTACAGCTACACCATAATAATGACCATGCAGGTCAATATCAGAGGATTTTAAAAGAGTACCAGCTTAGCTATCATAGCCAACACCTAGTCCTCCTAGCAACATGGCCTTCATGCCAGCAAACACACACTGGAATTTACCGCACTCAGGAGAGTTCAAAGGAGCCATGCGCTGTATGAATAGAGGTAGTTACTCCCTGAGTCACAGTTGGCTTTAGCACAAACTGAACAAACACTCGCACAGCTTGCACTTTTCAGAGAAACAATAGGGGCCCGCATTGTTCCAAGATACTTAGCTGCTTGTCAGGCTTTCACAACATCTGCACGTTCAGACCCTTACGCCTAGCCAGTGTTCTCTGGTCATGAAGTGGAAATCCCTGTCCTGTATGCAAAACAGCATTTTAGGGAGTGATTGCGGCTGTCATTGTAACACCAGCCCACCGTGTCACGCAGCTTATTTGCCACGTCCACAGCAAAGAATGACTACATGCTAGTCTTAGTGTCAGTAGGTAGTAAGGTACCCTGGGTTACAATGGGATGCTGTTGCTCTCTGATAACTGAGATGCTGTAATAGTTTACACGGCGGATACCAATGTATTGCCTATTGCTAGTATTGGTAACATAATTTGACCAGCTATTACAATGCAGTGTGAACGCACACAACACAGCATCAAACTAATACTGTGCTGGCTTTCCCGCATCAGATCAACCACACACTGGGCCTGTCAGTACCGGGATCGCTTGACTGTCCTTTACCAGTATGGCGTACACCTGTATTGCCTCCCGTGTTTCATGGGAGTTCTAATTCCCAGCAGCTATATAAAACGCTATCAGTCCATCTCCTATATGATGACACCGCAAAGCAATTGCAGGGGATTCCATTTTTCAGCTGGCGTATCCAATTTGCTGATAGAGCAATCGACTGCATCACTCAATATCAGATGTAGCTGCAATGCGCTCAGTGACGGTATTAACTTACTGCCTGATCAGGAGACAAAGGAGAACATTGCCATTACATGGCCACACCATAGCCCATAACTAACTTGAGGCTATGGCCGAAGAGTGTCCTCACCTGCAAGGTAAATGCCACGCTAGAGAGGCGTCACCCCCAGGCACGCCGCCTTCCCGTGGCACTATGCAAGTTACTTGACGCAAGCAATCCACTGGTTAAACGAATACCAAACCAAAGCAAGCGACTAGCTAGCTATGCCATTAGGAGACTTACCACTGGGCAGGATAGTTCAAAATTGCTTCTCGCTCGATGCTGTCCACAGCAAGCACAATAATCAGGTAGAAGCAGAGAGAAAAGCAGAAGAAGACGAACAGCAACAAGAGTGGTTAGGGTGTGAGCCACCGTCTGACTAGATCTTGGCCAGGTCTGCACAATTATTTCAACAGGACAGTCACCTGTAAGCGGTGTGCCACAGTACAGTGTGCGGTGTACTGTGTACACCTGTGTGTCCTTAGTGTGAGTGTCAGTCAGCCAGCAATTACCCAACTACTTAGTTGTTGAGTTTTGATGCTGGCATAGATTGGCTGCTGTCAATAGAGCTGGAACTTGACCAGCAGTTCTAGACCAGGCACTATGGATGATACTGCCGGGATAATGATTTTCTACCCATAATTATCATTATCCAGGGATCTGCCAGATCACTAGATGATGAAACTAGATTCCAGGCAAGGCAGGATTTGTGCTACACGCCCTGTATGGCCAACAGAGGCGGGTGCAGTGAACACAGTGCTTCATGCAACCGCTCCAGGACTTCTGTACTGACTACCCAGTGGGATAAAAAGCACCATTATTCATGATGGCTATCAGTAGAGTCCAGCAGGGCTACTTTGTGGAATGTTGTATCCATCAATCAAATGCTGATAGTTCCTTCCACTTGCACAGAGTCCCGTGCATGGATGCATCAGTTGAAATCACCTTTCCGCCCCAAAGCACTGCAAACAGCACTGCCCAGCAGCTGATTCTTCGACGAATTCATTTCCTCTACAAACATTTGGTTCAGGTCTAACATGCCGGCCTTATCTATTTTGCAATCTACGTTCCCTGTCAGTCCCTGGAAGAGCGATCCACTGAATCCAGCATAGTAGTTATAACCACTGCTGCTGCCTGACTACGCGTCGCTGTTTCGTAACACACCATCCATTGGTGACCCATGATCCAGTGCCCAGTGGTACTGTACTACTGAGCTGAGCTCCGACATAACACTGTACTAGTACTAGTATTCGGAACAAATGATTCACGACGTATCGACACTCGAGACCGTGGCAGAGATTGAGCAACAGCTACCGTAGTGTAGTAACGCTTGTTCCTGTTTCCTCGATGCTATCCAGGTGTCTGACAGCCTGTAGCTACCACAGTACCACTACCAGCAACAACCATCGCCTAACTCAACTGCACCCAGGAGCGTCGCATAGGGTTAGTTTGGATGACCCGGGACGTACTTTCGAACGTGTTTTTCTGGTCAGAAATCGCCTCCATCAGAATTCAGCTGCAACCACCTTACCCGGCGCCAAACTTCTGGCATGGTCACTCCACCGCACAAAACACTCCCTCTGCTGTCGACGTCGACCATTGGATCCGGATGGGCATGACATTCACCCTCCAGTTGCAATTCAGATGTTCATAAAACAAATTCCCCGCCAAGCTTTGCACTTACCCTCCAATGAAGAATTGTTTGTTCGCAAGCCAATCACGGACGGGCAAGCTCCACTGGAACACCACAGGCAGCGGGAAATGCTTCCTCCAGCTCGAGACGGTCGTCCGAAACCGTCCGTCCTTCCTACACAACCACTGATCCTCGAATCTCAAGACGCACACCGTTCATTTCAAGCTAAGTGCACCTCGACTCAGACTGCACACTGCAGGAAGGGACTACAAGCGGAGGATGAGCAAAGACTGAGAGAACAACGCACATTCCAGGCACAGTCGAGTCCAGTATACTACAGTGAAGTGATGCAACTGTGTCCCGATACTGGTTGAGTGCTGTCTATCCACTCCGTCCACTTACTTTTCCGCTCTCTTGTCTGCATTGCCCGCCGTTCGCTCAAGGCCACTTGCAGACACGCGCTCCATCATTCTTGCAAACGAGTATGAAGTAGTCCCCACTTAGGATGGGCTCGGAGCACGAGTCACTGTCTTCAGAGGAGAAGATCTGTGCGTGTCGCGGAGTCAAGCTGGAGATAGTCCACCGCGTACCGGTCATGGTATGCAAGGTCGTGTATGGTGCATTGGTGGTCTGGACCTGGACAAAGGAGGTGCTGTGCTTGGATGGTCTATGCCACTATGGAGTCTACACCGGTACCCACCATGCCCACTGAACCAGGATTGGCAGGAAAGGACGTTTATTAGTTAGGTCCATCAAGGCCAGACACTGAGCATGAGACAGTCCATGATCTACTGCCAGTAGACCCTACTACTACTGCCAGTGTACTGGGCTTTGCTTGATCCAGTACACACTGCAGATCTACTGTACATCAAAGTGCGGATCATTTATTCGATCATCAGGTGACATCACGATTACCCGCCTCCTGTCCCTGACCTTGATCTTGTACTTCTACTGACTGTTCCACACTACGTCTACAGTTCCATCCATCCATGATCCAGCCCAGGTGTCTGAAGGCAAGTGAAGGACTTAGGTTAGTCAGAGAGCCGCTGTAAAGCAGTAGCTAAGTGCTTGGTGTCGATATTGGACTCTTGCCGCATACCGCTGGCCAATGTGACCTTGCATGAGCTAAGTGCGTAGGTGTGGACTCTTCTCCTGATACTTTCACAGAGCAAACGCACACACACACGCACACACACACATGATGCGCACGCACACTGCCACACACTTCACTCACCACTGAGTCACCAGCGCAGTATCCAAGACTGGACGATGTGGTGGAGTTGATAGATCCACGGTAGATCTTACAATCTACATGTATGACCTAGACGATTCCAGGCACACCACCATCTGATTCATCTACACGTGGGGGAATATATCCATGATACTGATAGCCACACACAGTACAGACCTGCATGCCATCAAGAGGCGGCAGCGGCCGGTTCCGGACTGACGGGAGGGAGTTGAGCATGTTGAGGTGGAATGCAGACTACCGTATACGCGTAGAGGACCTGCTGACAGCACCTGATAATAATTATGATTACTGCTACTTCGTCAGTTATGACTCAATGTACAGGAGATCTACATTGCAACGATTGTTGTCCAAGTACCGGTGGTGGACTCCCGCTGAGTGGCTTTGGAGTTTGTGGAGTCCTCGCCTTACAGAACACGCATGTAGGTGTTGAAGTACGAACTTCAGAAGACGATAGGGACTTTTATCCACGACTCGGACTGGGCAGCATACTTTGAACATAATCAGCGGCTGTGACTTACCCATGCAATAATGGGAACCGGAGACCCATGTAACTATGTTACTTGTTATAAGATTACGGCGTAAGAAGCGAAAGTAGGACTCATTGCACACATCCCGACCTTCGACGTACGAGTCGCATCGTCCGCACATACTCCAGTAGAAATCATCTTGACAGGGCTCTAATCAGCTCCAGATATCCATAATATTATTACCAGATCATGCAGGACTCAAGTTAGTTCTCCGGTATCAGCCGGGCATATATCTAAGTCGGCACCCGCAACACCAGTACTGGCAGTAGTCTACGGATACCGGCATAGCCATGATAACAGTTCTCAGACATAACCAGGCTCTGTTCCAAGTCACGCAAATCACCGTCGTTACTGCCTCGTAGATCTACACCCCAATAAATTGACCGGCGGCGCGGATGCAATGTAATGTACATGACATAGTTTCATGTGCTGGCTACTGCCTCCAGGGCAGTGTCGCCTTAGCCGTAAGCTGTCTTGTAGACACCACGCGTGTCGACCAATCCCACCAGATGACGGATGACGGCGCAATGTAGCAGTATCCGGGATGTGAGTGTTACCCTAATCACTCGGTCCACACCCAACCTTGCTGGAACGGAAGGCCAAGCAGAAAGTAGCGTGTCTCCTGGGCCACAGTTACGCTAAAATACTGCCTCAGCTGTTCAGTGACGGTAAGTGAAATCCAACAGCCTGAATACAACAAACCAGTGTTCGTACAGCTAGGCCGCACAGCCACCAGGGGCAGATATGGATGAGGTCGGATTCCACTTGCCATCATTGTTGCTACCCCGTAGCAATGAAGATTTCAATGCACAGTCTACCCTGTTTTATCACTATCACAGTATAAGTTCACAGATGTAGACAATCGTGTCCTTCAGTCTGACCTCGCGTGTGTGGGTACATCCTCACTCGCAGGTTGGCCAGTCATCCAAGGGCAAGGTAGCTGAGCAGAGAACTCACAAAAACGAGATTTGGTGACAGGTGTTTGCTGTTGTTGATACTGGCCGAGCAAGTGATGTCACAGGGATATCTACTACTCCAAGCAATCAATTCAATCAATTCACTGATCGTCGCAACACAACTCGAGCACGGAGGTGAAGCAAAAGAACGGAAACTCCGGTGGGGTTTGCACCTGCACACGCATGCGAAACCGGGAGGTGGAACTGGAACTTGTGGAAGGGATTCTTACAAAACCTCTTCTGATAAAATTATTATCAGACCGAACAACCGAGGCCGAGCGCTGGTCTGCTGCAGGGGGGGGGGGGGGGGGCAGTGCTATATCCATTCTGCAATGTGCATGGTTGTTTCTCCTGTCCGCGCGCAACGCTCCGCGGCTGTATTATCCTGTTCCATTCCGTATACCCGGTAATAGCGAAGTTCGGACATCGGCGTTACAATCGGCGTACTCCTGGCATCTTTAAAACCCTTCTCAGTGGAGAAAGTGAAGGACCACTGGGGAACAGAACTCGATGAGTAGTGTGGTTCTGTGAGTAATTTTGTTGACTTGTTCATCCGGAAACCATGGTACTGCTTTGAAGCAAAATTTCTTACCCCCCCCCCCCTCTTGTTTGAATTTGCACGCAAGTCGCAGTTTGTTTGTAAACAATACATAACTATTTGAGTTGAAACTGTCTTTCAAAACAGAGACTCGAAACTGGGTCATTCCCCATGGGCGAGCCAAGTACTATAATTATGAAAACCCTGCCTTTGATCTCGCAGTGGTTGAGATGTGGGGCTCGGATTTAAACAGTACTTTGACCGTCATGTCGGTGCAGACATTTCTGGCCGCCAGAGGGAGATGGAGGCTCGTTATACTGACGTTTCATTATGGTGGAGATGCAAGCATCAGGGTCTGTTGAAGACTTGTCTGAAG